CCGTTATTGAATATTATAGGTGTGTAAACTCAGCAAAATATTCTAAAAGAGTCCAGTAGCCCATAATAGCATTGGGTCTTCTGTTTAACTGGCGAGTCTTCTGTTCTTAAGAGTTTGTGGCTAAGCAACACCACCTCTGTTGGCCTCCATATCTCCTCATCAAAGACCCAAAGAGAGAGCTTGGAGATGTCTAGCCAAGAAAACTGTATCCTTGGTCTTTGCATCATTGTAGACAGAAGCAAAGGGGAGCCACCAGAGTGCCAAGGGCTCTTAGCCTCCCTCCCCTTCAACACTTGGGGCTTCTTGCTGTAGTTTAGATTGGGAATTTCCCACCTGGCAGCACAACCAGAGGCCCAAAAGCATTGTATCTGCTTGACTGCTGATGCATATTAGCTAGTCTGGTCCTCATAGTTATTGGGTGTTTCTAAACCTCACTGTCACACTGGGGGTATAGCTCCATGATAGAGCCCTTACTTAGCATGCACAAGGCCTTGGGTTAGATTTCTGGCACTCACACAGCTGAAATAACTTTCTCTCTTTATAAACTGATTATCTCAACTATATGTTGTAGTAACAGGAAGCTGAACCATGATTGCTTATTCACATGATCTTCCCCAATGCCTGGCACCGAACATGCAATGCTTACTGAATAAAAGGGATGGACAGATGGATGGACGGATGGACGGATGGATGGATGGATGGACGGACGGATGGACGGATGGATGGACGGACGGACGGACGGACGGACGGACGGATGGATGGACGGATGGATGGATGGATAATTTGTTGGAGGAGATGGCACTTTTTTAAAAATATATATTTGGTACAGGGTCTCACTATGCAGCTTGGACTCATCGTGATCCTCCTGTTTCAGCCTCCTCAGGGCTGGAATTACAGGCATGTGCCCCCATGCTGGGTCTTGATGGCTGGCTTGGTGCCCTTGGGGTGGGGCAGGCACAGCATGTGGTACTGGGGAATGAACCTGAGTCCTTGTGCTTGCCTAGGCAGGTGCTTAGACCACTGAGCTATCTCCATGGCCCCAAGATGACACATTTGAGCTGCGTGCTGGAGAATGTACTATGTGAGAAACTTATGTTAAACTCAACACACCTCATCTTTAGCCCACTACCAGGTTAGACCATTGCTTCCTAAGCCTTGGGCACTAACCCTGATCAATCTAGTTCTTCGGGCAGCAGTGCATCGCCATACAATATTTCCTAAGCTCCCACCTCCAATTCTGTTTCCCCATAGCACATAACCACTTATCTAACTTAGGCATCTAGTTTTAAAAATCATTTATCTTGATCTACCCAATAAAATCTAAACTTTCTGAGGCAGGGATTTTATTAATTCTTATGTTGATAAGCATCTGGAAGGGTGCCAGATATAAAGAAGGCACTCCTGAATAATGTTGAATGACTGCATGAATAAAGAATACAGGGGAGTCACTTCCTCCTCACACAGGTGGACCTTGAAGCACAGGGTCAGGAGTGGGGATTTAATCCCAGGTGTGGTGTGAAGCCATAGGTGAGTCATGAACACCAAGGGAGCTAATGCTTTTTTTTTTTTTTTTAATGTCTTTGGTACAGGGTCTACAGGGTCTCACTACAAAGATCGGGCTCATAGTGATCCTCCTCTTTTCAGCCTCCTGAGCGCTGGGATTACAGGCGTGCACCACCACGCCCAGTCTCAATCGCTGCCTCAGCATGCCCTGGGGGCGGGGACGGGGATGGGTAGGGTCGCCCGATGGCGATGGCGTTCTGCTTAAGCAGGCGCTTTAGTCTGCTGAGCTATCTGGCCACCCTTCAAGGCGTGTTTTTAAAAGATCACTCAGGCTGTTGTGTGAAGCAGTGAGCATGGTGAAAAGCTTGGGACAGTCAGGAAACCCCTGCTATTCTGCTGGAGAGAGAATCATGGACTGCATTGGGGCAATGGCTGCGGCGAGATTCAGGACTGATCTTGGAGGCAGAGTCGCTAGGACTTGCAGACTGGCTGGATGTGGGACATGAGGGAAGGAGAGGACTCAGAGGTTCTTCTTGGTCTTTCGCCATTTTCTGAGGTGACACAGATGAAGGTGAGTGGTGACATGTGTGTACTGGGGGTGTGTTACAGTTTGTGTATAGCTGCCCCCCCAAAGCCTCATGCAGTTTTAGATGGTACTGTTGCAGTGGCGGCTGAATCTGAAGGGTGTGATTGATTCATGCTGCAATGCTAGGATTAAGGGTGCTGGGCTTAAGGGTGGATGATTGCTCATCAGCCCACAGATAGGTTCTCTACTCCCCTAATCCTGGTAGTCTGAATACAATATAAGAGACAGAAAGGCTTGTCTCCTCTCCCTTGCTTGCTTCGCTACTTCCTGGCTGCCATGAGCGGTTGCTCTGTCATGCCACCCTGCCTTAGAGCCAGCAGGTTATGGACTGAAACCTCTACAAACTGTGAGCCAAATTAACCTTTCCTGCTTTATCTTTTGATCGTTGGGTATTTTGTCTCAGCAATAAGAGAAGTAACTAAGATGGGGTGAGGAACAAGAACTGTTTCATTAATGGTAAACTGTGGAAGACTCCAAGTAGAAGGGACAATCTCTTAGACACACCCAATCTGCCTCTTTGGAAATCGGGAAAGTTCAGGGCTAAAAGTAGAGATCATATTTATAGTTCTCCGAACAGTTATTCCTGAAAGCTATTTATGTTACAGTCACTTGAGAGCAAAAGGGCAAGTGCTGGGCTTTGGTAATCTTCCACATTCAAGCGATCGGGGAGGGTCATTTATAGGTTGCTGTTTTATACTGAATGATGGCTGTCATTGAAGACAAATAGTTTCCCAACAAACTCCCAAAATAAGTTCATCAAATTTTACAAATGAGAGCCCTCTCTGCATCTGCTGGCTACCTGTAAGGTGTGCCTTATCTCTTGGCATCTCTTATAAAGCTGGTCTGAAATTTGGATTCAGGATGGGTCAAATTCCCTCTAGGGGTGAACTGGTCATTAGTTGATTCCTCCACTGTAGACTTGCTTTTCAATATGGAAGTCGACATTTTTACCTCAACCTATTTCTCAGTTGCTCTAAACTCAGATTAGGAGAGCATGTTATTGTCAGCCTTCTCAAACTTTAACACTATTCATAAAATAGAGTAAGGTAGGCCTGACATAAAAGCAGAACAAGAACCACTGCCCAGGTACTTTCCTCTTGTGGCAAGAGCAAAAGAAAGTCCCAGCATGTCTTGTTTATTCTTGATGAGAATTAGAATTGAAACTGAATGCTACAAGTTTCAAGTAAAAATTGAGAAAAATCATAGAGATATGTTAACAGGCTTTTGAGAACGCACAGCGCTGTCAATAATTGTATTTTGTTTAAGCCAACAACTCTCAAACTTTTTGGTTTTAGGATCCATTATATTTCTAAATATCACTGAGGACTCTATCAGGCTTTTGTTCAATATTTATAGTATTTACCATATTAGAAATTAACAGAACCCAGAGCTTCACATGCACGAGGCAAGTACTTTACCACTCAGCTGTACCTCACCAACCCATAAAATTGGGAAGTGTTTAATGCTGAAGTTCCGCCCACATTCCTCTAGTGGTCAGAGTAGTGAGGCCCTCACTGTTACTCTCAAGCAAGCAGAAAAGTGGGAAAGACAGTATCTCAATATTTTTGTGAAAGTAGCTGCAACTTCATGGACCTGAAAAATGTGCATACCCAAGGATCCCCAAGCCGCACTTTGAGAACCACTGGTTTGTTTTCACACCACTTACTAAAACATGTAAATTAGGTCTATTTGCATTTTGTCCTCATAAACTTGAGTTGCTATCACTCTTAAAAGGGGCCAAGAGTTTTTCTAAAATTTGTAAAAGTTTCTTTCACAATCCTCATAATGTTGGCTGATAACCTTGATAACAAGAATGTTGGTTATGGGATAATGTGTCCGACTCTGTACTGAATGAAGATCATTATGTTTCTTCCTGTAAAGGGAGATACTATGTTTGTCCTAGGAGGGAGGTTTTTTCCCTCCACCATACCAGTGAAAATTTCACTCCTATAGTTCCAAATAATTTTACCAGAATAAAAGATTATGCTCCTTTTTCCTCATAGAATTAGGAACATGAAAGGCATTCCTTTTAGAATTATTATTATTGATGGTGATGATGATTGTTACAGATTAAACTTAAAACACAGTGGTGCATTTTGGCTTCTTACATCACACCTTGTCACTACCCTACACCATTAACTAAGAGCATTGGCCAGATTCAGAGTCACAGACACATCAAAAAAGTTAACTCTCTAAGGTGGGCCATTTTTTGTTTTTGAATAAATTACTAACGTATTTTTTTGTACCGAACATGAATACATGCACATACTTTTTTGGGTTTGCTTTGTTTTTGAGACAGGGGTTCCCTATGTACTCTAGGGTGTTCTTGAGCTCATTGGAGAGCCCAGGCTGGCTCTGAACTTGTGGCAATCCTCCTGCCTCATCCTCCTGAATTCTGGGAGTACTGCTGTGCCCCACAACACAGAACTCCAGTACTGTTTTCCAATAAGTGTAGTATCAGTTGCCCGCCTTGACCAAGAAACAAGTATCCACAGTTTGTTTGATATTTATAACAATATCAAAATGACTGGAACTTACCAGGTTCTCTTCTCCCTCCTGAAAAATACCACAGCCCCACATCACTCCCCTCTGCCCAGCTCCCTCTGTATTTCTGTCAGTGCTTCTCAGGGCCTTCTGTTTCTCATCACAACCATCTCTATTTTTACTTCAGCTTTGCACCGGAAATGTTTCCCAAGACAGCAGAAATCCGTGAGATGGGCAGTCTCCGGAGTTTCTGGGTCTGTCACAATTGCCTAACAGCTTTTGCTCAAAAGGTGGGTCTTGGGCAATCAACATCAGAATCACCTTGGCCTGTTAAGGATGTACATTGTAGGCCACAAAGGAGAGACTATTAAATGGACCTACCTGCACCTGGGGCCTGATAGTCTTCAGGCAAAAGAAAATGAGTCTCACCTGTCGTGGAGCCCAGTACAACTAGCTTACTGAGCTTTTACCTACGGATGGATTGCTTTTTTTTGTTGGTTTATTTGATGTTTGAGACAAGGTCTCGCTATGTAGTTGAAGCTGGGCTTGAACTGCCTTCGTAGCCCAGGGTAGCCACAAACTCAGTAGTGATCCTCCTTTTCCTGCCTCCTGAGTGCTAGGATTATAGGTCTGTGCCACCAATCCCAGTTTCCAGATTCCAGCTACTCCAGGATCACACCTGGGAGTCTCTCAGGAAATTCTTCCTAAATTTCATTATGAACCCCTCCTGCTGGTTGAGTACGAGTCCTACTATGAGATCTTACTTTTTGGTGCAAAGTGCTTTCTCTCCCTGTGAACAAGGAGACTCAGCCGGATCCAAGAGCTCCTGCCGCTGTCAGGAACAGGTTCTTTAATCTGGGTGTAAGCACAGGACTGATAGGTGCCAAGGAAATGCCTCTTCTGAACTCTCAGTAAGCTGACTTGATTGCTTCTTTCTACTAAACAGTTGGATTCACGCTTTTCATTTATCTCCTCCAGGAGACACTGTTTTCTTCCTCTAGGTGTTTTCATTTTTTCACTGGATTTGTTTGTAGTTGCCATTATGCCAAAAAACCAGTTCTTGCTGCCCTGAAAACAAACAAAAATGTACTATGTGTTAGCATCCAGTAGTCACAATGATGCTAACCGGATCCTCTTTCTCCTTCTGCTAAATATTCCCACCTACCTATGCCAGGGACTTCACACCACCATGTCTGACCCAAGACAGATCCTCTCAGCAAATATGCTGCCATCCACAAATGACAGAAAACCACTAAAAGGTCGTGCCACCCTCAGCAAGCAGAACAGATGGCCATAAAGAAAACTTAGCAGAGGATGTGTCATCTCTCCAATGCTGGAAAATTCAGTATTATCTACATGCTTGTACTGACTACCTTGGGAACTTTGGCCCCAAATTTTCTACCTGGATTCTTTGGGAGTATAATCTGACCCAGATTCCTTGGGAGTATAAATAATCCCATCCCCAAGCCCTATAAAAACTTCACTTCTGCTCTGGTTGACATCATTCATACTCTCAGCCTGTTTGCACCCAGTCTAAATCCAGCCGTTGTTCACATAAAGCCTGTGTGTCTGGTGATTTCTTGTGTGTCATTGTTAACACACACCTCAGCCCAATTTTATTATTGCTTCCTAAGCGCTTTTTCAGATTTTCTTCAATGAGAGGAAAATTCATAGGATATAGTGAGAGAATATATTTTGTTTCTGAAATAGTATGCATTGATTCTTTATTATAGGAAGATTTCTTGTTCCTTCTTGCTATAAAAATAATTCATATCCATAGTAGAAAATTAAGAAAATACCAAAAAGGATAAGGCAGAAAAATTAAAATTGTACTTGATCCAGAGGCAACCAACATTAGCGTTTTGGGTGTTCCCTTCCCAGTAAGTATATGAAGGGATTTCATTGTAAGAATATACAAAAATTCAAAAAACAAAAAAGGAAGTACAGAAAAATTAAATTGGCTGGGATAGAACAAATGTAAAGATACATAAATGACAAGAATTTAGGAAGATTCTTCACGTAGCGTCATGACTGTCTCTGCAGCCCCCGAAGTGCGTAAGAACCAGCACATTGTCCTGCTCCACGTCCAGCGGGGATGTGGCTGTGTTACTGACTAGCTTGTTTCTAAAAGGCGGCTCACCAACTGGTACTAGGTCCTGGATTACTCGGCTCTCTTTCTGGAGTTGGGGTCCAGGTTCTTCTCACCTTCAACAAAGAATTCAATAAACAGAGCAAAAGGCAGTGACAAAATGAAAAGTGGGAAAGAATCTGGCTCTGCAGAGGGAATTTGGACCAAGTAAATAGAAAAGACAGCGAGAGCAAAGATAAAAGAGTACAATGCAAGCGGATGCACAGCACGGGGCACTATGAAGTTACACGCGAGCCTACACTGCACCGCGAGGGTATGTCCCTTCACGCTGCCCAATGTCCAGGACACCTAGGACAGCTTCTACACCGGCTCCTGACGGGCTGGGCTGGGATCGTTCTGTAGGCTTATGTCACGTCCAGGCCATCCTGTTACAAACCTGCTTGAGTTCTCCGAAGATGTCCACACGCAGTGCTCTGGGAACTGTTCTGTTCCTGTGTCTGGAATCTTACAGTTAACAGGTCACCCAGCTTCCCCAGCCATCGCTCTAGCTAGTCTCTTATCTTAGCGGGGCTCACTTCCTGCCTGTGGGCTGACTTTGGCTCTGCTCCCAAGGTTGGTTTGGGATCAGGAAAAACAAGAAAAACTATTTTTCTCCAATGTAGTGTTTCAGGCAGAACTAACTCTCCTGTATTCACTTTGTTCTTGGGAATTTGAAAAATTAAGAGAAACTCTAAAAATAACATAAGATATGAGATGAAGAAAAAACCTGTTTAAAAACTGAGCCATGGCTACACATTTTTCCATCTCTTTCAAGTTTATATTTTTATGTCCTGTGGGAAATCCTTGCGCTCAGAGCCATATCTTTCTCTGTAACTCTTGAGTCTGACCTCAGCATAATGTTGGAAGCCAATAAGCAACAGCTGACAAACGGACTTAAAGTGTAAATCCATACATGTTTGTGCATAAATATAAAAGGTAAACTACAAGCCACCCAAAAAGACCAACTTTGCACTTAAGTGATTTAATTAGACATCTTTAGATGTCAGTCTCAGAAATGAAAAAACTCCTTTATTAAGACGGGATCTAGCAAGTTTAAATCAAAGATGACAAAATGTTTCAGGTGCTCAATCAACTCTAAAAAATTACGTTGGCATCAATAAAACTCACTGTTCCAATCAGCAGTTAATGATCTGGTATAAAGAAATCAAGAATAATATGGGTGGAACGAATCTACAGGTAGTCTAAATATCTTGTTTTTGTTGTTAAACTTTCACTAAAAATACTAATTCATCAGAAATTAAACTTCAATATTTTTAGTATTTGCTCTGGAGAGTCTATGAATGAAAAACAAGCAGGGAGATGACTGAAGGAAAGGAAAAAGAATGCATGGTAATTATCTTTCATGTATTTTGGAGCTCACTTATACTTTGGTAAAAGTCCCTTTTATCTGGGTGTGGTGGCACGTGCCTCTAATCCTGTCCACCTAGGAGGCTGAGGCAGGACAATCACAAGTTCCAGTCCATCTTGGGTGATTAAGACTCTCAGCTGGAGCTCTGTGGTAGATGGAGAGTTTGCCTACCATACACGAGGCCTTGGGGGCCATTCTTAGTACTGGAGGGAAATACAGCAACAATTTTATGGATCTACTGTAAAGGAAGCCAAAATGTCCTAATTAAAATTGCACTGAGAAGTTCAGGAAATTGAAACTCACAATGAAAGGGAAAACCTGTACCGGAAAAATTATTCCTTTTAAAAAACTTTGTTCTTTGGAAAGTGCCGAGCTCTGGAACTGCTTCATGCCTCCGTAATTGCTTTCTTGACCCCTGTAACCATGAGAGCATAACCGGCCTCGCAGGACGGCCGACTGTAACTGTGGATCATTAATCTAACCTTGGAACCCATGATCTCACCCTGCTAGCAAATCAGAACTGCCAGGCTGCTCTGTCTCACCTGAGTACCTCCAGCTTGTGCACCATGTAAAATCCCAGGCCGGTGAGATAGCTCAGTGGACAAAGTGCCTGCTTAGGCAAGCGCAGGGACTGGGGTTTGATCCCTGGCACCACATGTGCACCCGCCCCATCCCCAGGAAGGCGGAGGGCTTAGTGGCCAGGAGGCCAGATGTGGCAGTGCACGCCTGTAATCCCAGTGCTTGGAAGGCTAAAACAGGAGGATCACTATGAGTCCGAGCTGAGTAGTGAGACCCTGTACCAAATACATAAAAGCGTATAAAAATCCCTTGACCACTAGAGATAGGGACCTGATATTGTGGGAATGATCCCAATCTGTGCCCATAGATGTAAAATAAATCTGCCTCCAAATGCTGGGGTGTCATTTGGGTGCTTCTGTTTATTATAGTAATATTACAAATAACTTGAAAACTGGAGCCCAGTAAAATTACTCAGCCATAGAATCTAGTGGTAAAAGAATGGATTTTGGAGGTACTTGGTTCAACCACTAGTTGTGCTACCCACTGTCTTGCTGTGGGTTACCTACCTACTTTGGATCTTAGTTTGTTTTCTGTTCAGTGTAAAAGATGCCCAGTTCTTAGTGTTCATGGACTAGATGGTGGCATACATGTCACCAGCTTACCACCTTCAACCTCAACAAGTGGTCATTTTATCACATTATTTAGGCCTTTCGCAAAAAAAGAATTTGGGGGGCTGGAGAGATGGCTCAGTGGTCTAAAGCACCTACTTAGAACAAGCTTAGCAAAGCATCAGGGGACCGCGGTTCAATCCCCCAGCACCACATGCCAGCCAGCCCCGCCCCCTGGTGGGCTGAGCTGGCCACACACACACACACACACACACACACACACTCACTCTCTCTCTTTCTCTCTCTCTCAAATAAAAAAAAAATTAAAAAAAAAAAAGAATTTGGGGCTAGGAAGATAGTTCGGAGTTCAAGTCTCAGTACCAAAAAATAAAAATTTTTCAATTTGATAGGTATTTTGTCCCCCCACGTTACTTATCTGTTCACTTGCTGTGTGATTTTGATACGATGTGGTGGCATAATTCATGGGCCCCAGTGAAACTAAAATAACGGACCTTGGTTAGAAAAGTTAAGACTCCCAGCCAGGTATGGCGGCACATGTGTGTATTCCCAGCATATGGAAGGCTGAGGCAAGGGGATTGCCACAAGTTTGAGGCCAAACTATGTTACATAGTGAGTTCAAGGCCAGCCTGAGATCCTGCCTCGAAAAACCCCAAGAAAACAAAACACAAACACAGACAGAAGGAAAGAAAACTGTAGAGACTTCCAGAAGGCGCTAGCGGAGCTGCATGCTGCGCAGGCCCCCAGCTCATGGGGCCGTGTGCGCCCACACAGGCTGCAGCCTAGGTGCTGGCCCTGAGTGACCCAACAGCAGGTCAGTTTCCCAGCGGCTTCCCCCTGCTTTTCAGGCTGCTACATGGACATGAACTGCATGTGGAACCCTTGGCCATGGAAAGGGATCTGGAAGGAGTAAGGGAGATACCCACTGCCAGGACTGGGGTCAGAAATGAACCCCCAAAGCCTTGTGTGAGGGCGGTGACTGGATGGTGGGGGCACTGGTCTCACCAGGGGACTTCCCCGCTCCTGCGCTCCCAGAAAGCAGCTCACAGGGTGGGACTGGGAAGGGCAGTGGGCTCCTCCTCCTCTTTCTGCTTCTTCCAGTCTGAGCGCGTTTTCCTCTGCCAGGTCCCTCCACATCTTGCTTCTGTGTTGGAGCCCTTTGAGCATGGACCGAAACTAAGCCACAGCAAACCTCTCCTTCCTTAAGTTGCAGGTGTTGTGTGTTAAGGACCAGGGGATATGAAATAATACCTATGCTGGGGACCGTGCATGGTCTGGAGGTCCTATGACCCACTTTAGGAACGGAGAAGTATGCAGAAGGCCCAGTGCTTCCTGGCTGCTCAGAGAAAGTTCCTAGCCACAGCAGTCCTAGCTACAAGCCACAGCAGTCCTGGGGCGACATAACATCTGCTGAGGACAATCTAAAGAACATGGCACATTGATATGGAGAAGGACACGTTCTGCATTAACTAGTGCCACTTACCATAGTTGCTTTTCCATGAAAAGAACGCCGCCTCACCCCCACCCCACCCCTGCCTGGTTCTCCTCGCTTGCTAATATAGAAGGGTCAGCCACGGAGATTGTTGTGCCAGTGTACTGGGGGCAGGTTCCTCCCGGTCCCCTTGTACCCTGAAATTTGTCTCTTGTCTTTCTTTATTCCCTGCCCTTACCCACTGCTATTGGGGGCAGCCCCCTGGCAATTTTGTCCCAGCAATGGTTAAGCAACTAAGATAATGACTACTAAAGTTTGTTACATGAAATTAATATTTGCGACACCTTCAGCTATTTGAGGCCATGTCCGAAGCAGCAAGGGTGATGCCCACCTTCCCAGCTCAGGGCCGAAAGACTCCCTCTGTGTTGCTCCAGCTCTCAGGCTTTACACAGGTATCCTTTCCTGGTCTATTTAGTGCCATAGCTTTTACATGGGGTGGGAGGTTTGGGATGGATTTTACTGTTTACAATGGTCCCTAAGGGACTGGGGAGATAGCTCAGCAGTCTAAGGGTCTACTTGGAAAGTGCAAGGACCCAGGTTCCATCCCTGGGACCGCATGCCTTGCTGCCCTGGAACCCTGGGTATGGCCCGCCACAGAAACCGGGCGTGGTGGCCCACCCCTGTAATGCCAGCACCAGGGAGGCTGAGACAGGAGGATCACTACAAGTCCGAGCTGTATAGTGAAACGCTGTACCAAATAAATGGAACAGAAAAATAAAATGACCCCTAAGATTCGTGCTGAAGCGCTTTCAAGTGTCCATGGGCACAAGAAGAATGTGATGTGCCTGGGGGAAATATGTATACACAAGCACTATGTGTGGGAGGCCCAATACCTCCAGGCCTCCAATCCTACTGCAAGTGGGCTTCCGGGTTCCTGTGAATCTGCCACATCATGACTCTGCGCCACATATCCCTTAATGGTCACCTGAGTGCCTCTGACCTATAAAATTCTCTTGGTGCATCAGCGTCATTAGTGACGCTGACTTCCTCCTTCCCCTACCTCTGCTGAGCTAAGCTCCTAATTCTTCTTACCCCGCCTATTTCCCATAAATCTCCTGCTATGCCCCCGAGGTGGGACTTCCTGTTACTCGCGCCTTTTACCCGCCCACGTCATCTCCCTATGCCTCCACTATCTATACCCAGAGTTTCCTTTGAATAAACGAGACTTGATCAGAATCCTGTCTTGTCGCCATTTCTCGCGTCTCCTGTCCTTTGTCCCCTCCTCAATTCCCCGCTCCTCTCCCAGGTGACCTTCGTTCACTGACCAGCTGGTTCGGGACACTATGTAGGTCTGAGCTGTTGTGCTGCTGAGTGTGAACTCAATTACCAGTTATGAATCAACAACATGGATTAAATTAGGTGTGTTTAAATAGAAACATAAGGGGCGGGAGAGCTAGCTCAGAGGCATGCGCACCTACCTGGAAGCACAAGGACCTGAGTTTGATCCCCTGCCCTGGAGGCCAGATGCCCAGAAGTACCGTCTAGGCCCCAGATGCCGGCGCGCACCATGCACCCCAGAACCAGGCGTGATGGCACACACCAGTAATACCAACACTCAGGAGGTTGAATCAGGAGGATCTCTGCATGTTCGAGTCTAGCCTGGGGGCTACAAAAGTGAGACAATGCCAGAGACCCTGTCTCAAATAAATAAAAAATTAAAGTAACAATGGCCAGCCAAATTGCTCATTGGATTAAAACACCTGCAAACAGATGCAGGGGCTGGGGGTTTGATCCTGGGCCTGCTGTGCTGGTTCTGCCCCCAGGGTGTGCTGAGACAGCAATTGAGACTGGGCATGGTGGTGTGCACCTGTTATCCCAGCTCTTGGGAAGCTGTAAACAGGTGGATCAGTATGAGTAGGCTCTAGTAGTGAGACCTTGAACACCCTGTAGACCCTTCCCTAAAATACAAAATAAATAAAATAACAGAAACATAATACAGGCATGGTAGTTTATACCTGTTAGCCCAGTTCGGGAGGCTGAGGCAGGAGGAGCTATTGAGCCTAGGAATTCTGGACTAGCCTGGGAAACATAGTGAGACCGCTTCTCAAAACAATACCTCAGAAGCATGTATCAAATGCAATTACATAATGGTTGGTTAACAAAAATTTTGTGACCAGAGGCTTGCAGGAATCTAAGCTCCCAAAAAACAATTATCAAGTGTTTGTTAATTCAGTGCTTGTGGTGGCTTTATGGAAACTGTAATTACCACAACATGAGAACTGGTCGTCTACACTGAGAAAAAGTGTTAATTTTCCTCCAGAAACATTTTTATGACTCACCGTTCACATACAGTTACCCCAAGCCTATGTGTAGTCCGCGGTGTGTATGTGGCACAGGGAGGTCACCGTGGTGACAGAATGTGACCTGGAACCTAGCAGGTTTGTTCTCTCACAGAACCCTGGTAACAGTGGTCATTTTGGAATCAAGTCAGGTGTCCTTGGATAAATGATTCAACCTTTTTTTTTTTGTATTTTTTAGTAAGGGTCTATAGGGTCTCACTACGTAGATTGGACTCGTAGTGATCCTCCTGTTTTCAGCCACCCAAAGAGCTGGGATTACAGATGCATGCACCACCACGCCCAGTCTCAATCGCTGTCTCAGCATGCCCAGGGATGGGGCGGACACAGCATGTGGGGAAGTGAACCCTGGCTGTTGCCTCTGCCTAAGAAGGTGCTTTAATCCACTTAGCTATTTGGCCCGCCCAAAATTGAGGCTTTTATTTTAATCTTTTTATTTAATTATTTATTTGTTTAATTATTTGGTGGTGCCAGGGATTGAACTCAGGACCTCGCACTTGCTATCTCCCTGGCCTCAACCTCTTTCAGTATCAATTTCTTTGTGTGCTGAAGTTGTATATTTGTGTATACGGCAGGTAGCAGAGGGAACCTGGACTAAAGGAGGTACCTATGCACCCTGCTGACCACCATACTACTTGGCAGCCAAGGTGGGACTATCGCTTGAGTTGAATTTGAGGCCAGCCTGAGCAACATAGCAGCAAGATCCCAACACAATTTTTTTAAAAACCTTTATATTTTACACGGAAGTATCTTATTAATATTAATCTATTTTCTCAGGAGAGAACTAAGCTTTTATTTATGTATTTATTTTGGGATAGGGTCCACCATGCAGGTTGGGCTGGCCTCGAGGAGATCCTCCTGTCTCAACCTCCTGAATGTTGGGATTATGAGTTTGTGCCACCATGCCCAGCAGGATCGTAGCTTTTTAAAAATTATCAGAAATAAATTTTAGAATACAAAGTCATAATTTCTTTCCAGGAACCAGTAATAGGGGAAAGAAGGCTTGTGTTGAAGAGAGTACTTCACAAGGCCAGAGAAATCAATTCTCTACAAAACACAGCAGACGTGCCACAGTGCTCTAGGCCACCCAATCCTGCTAAGCGGTGGGCCACAGTAACCAACGCAGGGCTCTTTCCAAGGACAGGTGCATTCATCACAGTCTTTTGTCTTGTTTGTAAGAAGGCTCTCCAGATACTGAGCAAAGGCTGCCAAGACGCCTGACTCCTTAGGAGCAGCTCTGACAGCTTCAGGGCTGAGCTATGTCCAGACTCTCGGTCAGAAAGGATGTAAAGTATAGGGAGCGGCTGAGGCTGAAAATTGGTCATGCGTGTGTGCAAGGCAAGGCAAGGCGCATGTGTTCAAGAATGAAAGGCACCTCAAGCAGTCAAGGTGCTTCAGTCCTAAGAAAACACCTTGCCTGAGACAATTCCAGGCATCAGTTACTAGGCAGTCCTTCTTTCCTGAGATTGTCAAATGTATAAATGCTCCTGTGGTAACTGAGTGGTTCCTTTCCTCCCATCAGAGGAGAGAGGGCTGTACCTGACCTCAGCTTTCCACTCTTATCTTTATTTCTTCATCCTCTTGATGTTTTTCCCTTGGAACATTGAGAGTGTTGCAGGATGCAGCAGCCAAGGATGTGCAGAGCTGCACACAGTGTGTATGTGGTGTGACATAAAAACACAGCAAGTGATTACATTTTTTAAATGTTTTACTGTAAAAGACACATTGTCACAGAATCCCGATCAAAATCCTCCCACTCACTCTGAACACAGTTGAATACATCTCATTGTCCTTGCCACTTTCTGAAGCATTTCTGAAGCCCTCTTTCGTGAGTGCCTTTGGTTGTGTTATTGTGGCTGCCTCAATGTCCTGAATCAGTTAAAAGCATCTCACTTTCATGATAGTTTTGACTGTGGCCAAGAGCCAGAATCACATGGTGCCGGATCTAGTGAATGAGGCGGATGAGGACACAGTGTAATGTTTTTAATCTTTCTTTCTTTGGATGGTGCTCAGCAGCAGCTTTCACTGTATCTTCTTTTTTTTTTTTTAATTATACCTTGTAAACCACTCACAAAAGAGGACTTCCAGAACTGTTTCAGAAAGTGGTAATAACAATAGGATAAGTGTGTGTGCAAAGCAAGATATATTTACAAACTCTGAATTGTTTCTAAAATGACTATTTGAGGGAGATTAATGGCAGTGTCTTTTACTGTAGTAACTGCTTATGTAACTATGTACTGTGTATTTTGGACATACTGTGTTATGGTTTGTATCTGGTCGTCCCCCAAAGCCCTGTACACACATGGTGAGGCTTTGGGAAGGAGATTGGGTCACGACGGCATGATATTTGTCCACAGAGCAGTCGAGTGACGAGTTTGCAGTTAAATGTGATGTTGGGAAGGAAGCCTGGCTATAGGAGGAGGTCACTGGGGAGTGCAGCCTGGAAGGATCGCTCTCTCTGCTCCTCCCTTGATTTCTCTGCTTCCTGTCGACCCTGCTACAAGCTGCTTCTCCTCTGCGATGTCCCTTTGCCACACCACCCTACCCTGGAGCCAGTGATTATGAACTGAAGCCTTTTCTGTGAGCCCAAATAAACCTTGCAGAGCGGTGGATGTTGGGTACATGTCTCCCCAAGGAGAAAGTCACTGGGACACACTGTGCACAAGTGTCTGTGCATGCGCTGGCTTTGCCTTAGCTCACTCACCAGCTCTGTGCTATCCAATCCACTCGCCTCCTTTGCCAACACTGCTTGAGATTAGGAGTTTGACTTCTGTCTGGCCTGGTTCCACCTGGCCCTTGCTCCACACATTTTCTGGAGTTACTCATTTGCTCAACTCTCAGTAGACACCATGCTGAAGACTCCTGTGGAGTTGACTGGAGGGAGATTAGAAGTCTGTTTTCCTTGGCGTGGGCTCTTCATTATGGTTTCAGGAAATGAATTTCTAAGTGGTGAGTCAGAGCAGATAACACACAACCAGGTTGCAAGGCCTTTTTAGCATAAATCTGTCAATGAAGATTTAATTGCTTTAGATGAGAGGGTCTGCTGAGGCAGATTTATTATGTTAATGTGACTTAAGCTTCAAAGTGTCTTTGAAGGTCTTGTACTCATTTGGTATTTTAATTTTGAGGTCAGTTTCTTAAAGAACTCTTTCTCCCCAAGATACTTTAAAAACCTGGATCCAGCCTAGGGCCTAGGGAGGTTAAGAAGAATACAAGTTTAGGTGATTAAAAATTGTGCAAGAACACGATAGAGGAAATATGGGTTTTAGAAGTGCTCCTGCTATGTTCATAAAGGAATTTTTGCTAACCTGCGACTTGGGAGGAATGAACTTGGAATATAATGTTCAGGTTCTAAGTCCCTGCCTGGGGCCTTTGGTCATAAACTCAACCAAACTAAGGTGGGAACTCTGTTCTTTTACTTAAATAAGTAACTCTAAGAAACTGAAGGGGGCCAAGTGTGGTAGCACACACCTGTAATCCTCGCACTTGGGAGGCTGAGGCAGGAGGTAATCCATGAGTTTGAGGCCAGTGTGAGCTACAGAGTGAACTCAAGGCCAGCCTGAGCTATGTAGCAAGACCCTGTCTGAGAAAGAAAGAAGAAAGAAAGAAAGAAAGAAAGACAGACCAGTTAGGAGAACCAGTTGCCCTCCAAAAGTTCTGACTTATTAAATCTGTAAGAGGGGGCCTGGCAAGCACAAGGGCCTGAGTTCAAGCCCTGGTTCTGCCAAAGAAATAAATAAATCTGTAAGAAATGACTCATGTGGTCTGGATGGTGCATTAGTTCTCTCTCATCGTGACAAAATCAGAAATTCAGCTTAACGGAGGGAAGGTTTGGGTTCATGGTTTCAGAAGTTCCAGCCGTAACTCCTTGGCCCCGTTGCCAGGCAGAGCCTCATACCAGGGAGCACGTGCCAGGGCAAAGCTGCTTGCCTCTGCTGAGGGGTTCGAAGCAGAGATACAGAGGAAGAAGCCCCGTCCCGGTGACCTCACTTCCCCCCAGTAGGCCTCATCTCTTGAATCCCACCCCCTCCTGACAATGCCATCAGCTGAGATCAAGCCTTTGACATGGAGCCTTGGAGGACACTTAGGCTCTAAACCACAGGAAATGACTGGCTACTTTAGATTTTCAGCAGTGTTTCATTGGTGAATACAGCATTTGCAATCTTCCACCATGTAAATAATGTTCTCATCATGAACACTTTTAAGCTACCAGTGATGCTATCTCTGAAGTTGGATTTGGGAACAATAGGCCAAGTGAGCTCCTCCAAGCCTTGGCAAGCTGGCTCCAGCACACTGGTGTGTGCTGGTGCAGGTGTAAGTGTGCCTTTTTTTTTTTCAGAACCAGGGACTGAACTCAGGCCCTACTGAGCCATCTCCCCAGCCCAGTGTGCCTTGTTATAAATCAGATATTTTAGAATCAACAGGGAACCAGATATATAGCTCAGCAGCACAGCACCTGCCTGGAAAGCGTGAGGTCCTCAGTTATTACCAAAAAAGGAAAAAAAGAAAGAAAAAAAGACTCAACAGGGAATAGGAACATATGCATTTACGCTTAAATGGTATTAAAATGTTAAAAGGCATTTGAAGTCCTCAGTAGTCTCCTTGTGCTGGCAACTTCCACTGACATCACGAACCAAAGGTAGACAAAAGCACTGCAGAAGGGAAAACCCTGGGATAAAATTCCTCTAGGAATGTGATAAATGAAGACAAATGAGGCCTGGGGAGGTGGCTCAGCAGTTTAAGCACCTTCCTGGCAAACAGAAGGTCCCAAGTTCAATTCTGGATGCAATAATAAATAAATAAATAAATAAATAAATAAAAGAATAAGAAAACAAATGAAATACCTCGATGTGGGGGAAGTAGACACGGCGCTCTGCTTCCCAGCCTTCTCCTCCACCCCCTGCTCCCACCTGGATCTTTCCTCAGCTCAAGCCAGCACAGTCTCTGCTGCCCAGGCGCACAGAGCACAGCGAGAGTCCTTCGAGGCAAGGGCGGGCGGCCCACACCCACGCCCCT